TCCACGTCGGGCGCCATGAACGATCAGTACCACCGGGCGGCCAGGGATGGCTACCTGGAGCTCCTCAAGGAGGCCACCCGGAAGGAGCTGAACGCCCCCGACGAGGACGGCATGACCCCCACGCTCTGGGCTGCCTACCACGGCAACTTGGAGTCGCTGCGCCTCATCGTGAGCCGCGGGTGAGTACCTAACCCTCCACCCGGGTGGGCCCAGGAGCGCGGAGGCCTCCCAGCGGCCCAGACTCCATGGCCTCTTTTACCCCCACCCCCGGCTGCTTCCTTCCCCTGCAGAGAGACCCTAAGGTGGAACCTTGGGGCCTGACGCTCTTGGGCCAGACACGTGGAGGAGCACACAAGCTGAGGCACGTGACACTTGTGACCTGGATGTGGGGCCCGGAGGGGGCAAGTGGATTTGAGGGTCCATGATGTGGGGCGAGGGGTGCTGCAGGCAGAGGGGACAGGGAGGAAGGTGGGAGAGATGCCCTGGGTGGGAGCCATTTGGAAGCCATAGTGAGGGGCGTCGTCAGAACCAGAGAGAAGGGCTCAGGGGCCAGCGGTGGGGGCTTGGACAGGAGGGGTCATCGCCAGCCCGCTCCCTAGCCTCAGGCCCAGAGGGCTCTCCCGGTCAGCACCCACACCTCCCGGCAGGCTGGATGTCACACAGCTTTCTCCCTCACCCTCCTCATCGCTGGGATTTACGGGCACTGTCTACAGTGCCCAATGTCACGGGTCAGCCACCCCATTAACTCTGTGCCCCTTCCCCCCTGCAGGGCACAACTAAGCAAAGGAGATGCTATGCTGTGCTTGCCTTTGAAGGGGCTTCTCTCCCCTCACCGCCCTTTGGAGTAGTTCTTGTGGGGAAGGGTGGGCATAGAATCCAGGTGTCAGGGCCAGGACGGAGGACTGCTTCCCCCAGCAGTTGAGGGGGAAGGTCACAGTTGAGGAATGCTGGGGCCTAAGGCCACTGAAGCTGGTTCCCTGGGGCCAAGTTCCACTACTGGGAACAACTGCCCCACACCCAACAGGTTTACAAAGAGAGGTCAGACTGGGCTGAAAATCCGGTGGCCTCGGCAGGACAAGGGGTGGAATGGATGCCCAGGAGGGTTCACATGAAGTCTCGGGCCCCAGGAGAGAAGGGCAGGGGCTGAGCTGGCCCTGGTACTAGGCTCGATTGCGTGGTGGGTGGGGAAGCCCCTCTCAGTGGCTGCTCCTTGAGCCCAGCAGCTCGAGGACTAGGTTGCTGACCCGTGTTCCAAGAGGCCAAGACTGACTGGCCCCTCCCCAAGAGGGTACATAGTGTACACTGTCCCCTGCCACCCTTTCAGAGAGACTCATGGGAGGAAGGAAGCGGGTTCTCTCTTAGTACACCAACACCCCCCTCCCCCACCCAACTGCCACAGAGGCCGGGATTGATGTGGACCAGATGCCAAGCAGCCCCTCCCTGCTTTGCCCTGTAGGACTTGGTGACCAGCAGGCGAGGGGTGGGCGGGGAGCTGTGGAGACAAGGGAGTGATTCTTCCCCCAGCCCTGGGGGGGTGGCCTCGTGACCTCATTAGCGTGGGACAGGGGCGCTGAGCTGGGCCCTTGAGGACAGAGAGCCCTGGAGGAGCCAGCGGGAGCCTGCCCTGCAAGACACAGTCTGTCTGGTGTGTGGAGGGTTTCCAGGGGGCTGCAGGGACCCCTGGGCAGGCCCAAGCCAGCCAACCCCACGGCACTTCCAAAGGTGGGCAGCCTGGGGCAGGGAGGGCCGCCAGGCACAGGCACTGACTTCCCTCCTCCTCGCCTCCGGTCCTGGCTGCCCCCACACTCCCCTCCTGGCCCAGGCCAAGGCCCGACACCTGCTCTCACACTCGGGCTTGCCAGGCCTGGCCCTGCTCCCTGCAGACATGGCCGTGCCCGCCGACACGCAGGCTCACATCTCACACACACTCACTCACCCAGGACCCGTGCCCAGCGCACAGCACACTCTTGTCCTCTTTTCCGGTCACTCCACAACACGCAGCCACACTCACCACCACGCCTGCCTAGAGACCCAGACTCGGCCCTGGCCCACCACCTCTCTGGGCCAGCTCCCCGCTGGGCCCCATGAATAATTCACTCCTTTCTCTCTGGGCATCAAATATTTATCCCCTGAGATTCCCAGCCTTCAGTTATCTTGGGGGAGGCCCCGCCCTGGCCCCGCCTTCCCTGTCGCCCCACCCCCTGCGTGCCTGTGGCCATTTTCCCCCTGGCCCACTCCAGGTCCCTTTGGTGGCTCAGCAGCCAGAGAGGTCTCAGGCCCAAGAGTTCCTTGGGGCCCTGCCGTGCTCCAACAAGGCTGGGGGCATGCCCCTTCCAGCCTCCTCTGCTTCTGCCACCTCCAGCCTGTTCCAGCCAGGGCTCATGGTCCCTCCCCACATGCTCTCCCCGCAGGGGTGACCCGGACAAGTGTGACATTTGGGGCAATACACCCCTGCACCTGGCAGCTTCCAATGGCCACCTGCACTGCCTGTCCTTCCTGGTGTCCTTCGGGGCCAACATCTGGTGCCTGGACAACGACTACCACACGCCACTGGACATGGCCGCCATGAAGGGCCACATGGAGTGCGTGCGCTACTTGGACTCCATCGCGGCCAAGCAGAGCAGCCTCAACCCCAAGCTGGTGGGCAAACTCAAGGACAAGGCGTTCCGCGAGGCCGAGCGCCGCATCCGCGAGTGCGCCAAGCTGCAGCGCAAACACCACGAGCGCATGGAGCGGCGCTACCGCCGCGAGCTGGCCGAGCGCTCCGACACTCTCAGCTTCTCCAGCCTCACGTCCAGCACCCTGAGCCGCCGGCTGCAGCACCTGGCGCTGGGCAGCCACCTGCCCTACTCGCAGGCCACGCTGCACGGCACCGCCCGGGGCAAGACCAAGATCCAGAAGAAGCTGGAGCGGCGCAAGCAGGGCGGCGAGGGCACCTTCAAGGTCTCCGAGGACGGCCGCAAGAGCGTCCGCTCGCTCTCGGGCCTGCAGCTGGGCAGCGACGTGATGTTCGTGCGCCCAGGCACCTACGCCAACCCCAAGGAGTGGGGCCGTGCCCCGCTCCGGGACATGTTCCTCTCGGATGAGGACAGCATCTCCCGTGCCACGCTGGCGGCCGAGCCTGCCCACTCGGAGGTCAGCACCGACTCAGGCCACGACTCCCTGTTTACCCGCCCCGGCCTGGGCACCATGGTGTTCCGCAGGAACTACCTGAGCAGTGGGCTGCACGGGCTGGGCCGCGAGGACGGGGGGCTGGATGGGGCGGGCATGCCGCGGGGTCGGCTGCAGAGCTCCCCCAGCCTGGACGATGACAGCCTGGGCAGTGCCAACAGCCTGCAGGACCGCAGCTGCGGGGAGGAGCTGCCCTGGGACGAGCTGGACTTGGGCTTGGACGAGGACCTGGAGCCCGAGACGAGTCCGCTGGAGACCTTCCTGGCCTCCCTGCACATGGAGGACTTTGCCGCCCTCCTGCGGCAGGAAAAGATCGACCTTGAGGCCCTGATGCTGTGCTCTGACCTCGACCTCCGCAGCATCAGCGTCCCCCTGGGGCCCCGTAAGAAGATCATGGGGGCCGTGCGGAGGCGGAGGCAGGCGCTGGAGCGCCCGCCCGCCCTGGAGGACACAGAGCTGTGAGTGTCCAGCCCACGGGGACGGGGGCAGGGGGCTGGAAGGCTCCTGGGAGGAGGGGGGCAGAATCTGCCTATTCAGGAGCGGGAGGGGGAATAATGCCTCACTCCTAAAATCCAAGCCACCGTCAATGACAAGAGGCCCCGCTGCTTTATGTATCACCTGTCCAGAAGAAGGAGCTGCCAGTTGAATGATGACTAGAGGCCTTCTTATCACAGCTAATGTAAAATGAGCCTCGATTTTGGAGACTTCAGAATAGGGGAAAATGGGCTTCTTAGTGTTGATGAGATACAGTGGCCACAGTCGTCAAGCTAGGAAGGTTTTGAACCTCCTGCCTAGGGCGCTGGGCTGTGCCCTTGGACAAGTTCTCCTGCTTCATCCTCCTGAACTCCTGTAGGTAGTGGACCACGTCATGTCATTTCCCAGCCGACGTGCAAGTGAAGGCTCAGAGGTTTAAAGTAGCTTGTCCCCGGGCCTTGGTGCTGCTTGGTGTGGAGCTGGGCTTGTTCCCTGGTCTGCAGCTCTGCAGCCTGGGGTCAAGGTGACTCCGGTGGGCTGGAGGCCCTCAGAGGGCCTCTCAATGGTCTACGCCCTCAAGGCAAGTGTTTACCTGCTGCCGCTCTACCCCGTGGCCAGAAACACGAGCTGGTGCCAGCAGCAGCCTTGGAGGCCTGTTCCCCAAACCGTCACGGTTGCCCAGTGCTGCCCCCACACTGGTCATGCTGTTGGCTAGTCCCTGCCCCGGCCCCGCATGCCCATGGCATCCCACAAGCCCAGCAAACACGGCACCCCCCCCCATTTAGATATCTCTGGTCTTTATGTCGAGTGGTTGGGGCAGGGATGGGTGTGGGGAGGCAGTCTGGATTAGAGTTTGAAGAACAGGGAGTCACCCTTAGGCTGGTGTCCCCTATCCTTGGCCTTCAGCCTGTCCAGAGAGGGGGTGACTAAGTCATCCAAATGGCTGGTTCTGGTTGAAAATGATGTCCCCGAAGGCCTTCATCCGAGTTCTGTTTCTTTCTGTCTCTTCCTCCACAGATAACTGGGGGTTCCTCTCCCCACACCAAAACAAATTGCAAGTTGCCACAACCCATGGTGGGGCCACAAGGTCCTCACAGTTGCCAGCCCCGTTCCCCAGGAGCAAGGACCATATGGGTCAACTTTGAAAGCCTGTCCCCACCCCAAAGCAGAGGGTGTGGCCTGGAGGCACAAGAGGGACAAGCAGAGGAACAAGAGAACGTCCCGGAACATCAGTTCTGAGGGTCCCAAAGGCCCTGAGCCGCCTCCGTCTAAGCAGCCCTCAAGGACGTGTGGATCTGTGGAAGGCCAGCCCCAGAGAGAGGGCAGGGGCATCGGAGCTGGGTGGCAGTGGGGGAGGGGGAGGGCAGGAGGGCACGGCCTGCTCCAGGCACCATCGTCTCTCCTGTCCCTCCTCCAAGGGTCCTGTTCTCTCAGCTCAGGCTGGAGACATGCTCACTTCCTGCATTGTTGTGAAGGAAAGCGTTTGGGCTGTCTCCTCTCCCTCCACACACCCAGAGGGGAGATCCCCAGCCAGACTCTTCAGCCAAATGCCCTTTCAGTCCCCACACCAGCCCAAGTATGGCCAGCTCCCTTCTCCTTCACCCACCGGCCAAGGGCCAGAGCTGAAGAGCCAGGCTGGGGTGGGGTGGGGGTGACCGACTCTCTTCCTGGTTCCCCCTGTGGCAAAACCCAGCCTGTCTTCCTCTGGCCTCCCCATCCTTCGTTGTGCAGCCTGCCCCCCCCAGGGACCCCAGAGGACCAGGGCGCCAGGGGCACGGTGCTAGACCAACAGGCTCCCAGACCTGGCGGCACACCCTGGGCCAGAGAAAGGCACCTACCAACTGTCTCAGGGTGTCCCAGGCCGAGATGGGCATAGACTGGGCATGGCTGGGTGCCGGGCCTAGTGTGGGCCAGTCCTGTGAAGTGGACAATGAGGATGTGAATGATGTAAACTTCGATGGTCCCCAGGTCCCCAGGGCTGTGTGTGTGTGCACGTGTGTATGCGATGAGGTTTGGTTGGTGAGTTTCCCTCGAGGCCTGGAAGGAACTGGGCTGCTGCGTGATTCTGCATGGATCATGGGCGAGCGGGAGCCCACCAGTGTCCCAGCTCTGCGATGGTGATGACACCAGCAGAAAGGCCAGCCCAGAGGGTGCTCAGACGTGTGTCCTCAGAGCTCTCCAGCCAGCCCGACCAAGGTCATGGATGCGGGAGAGTCCCTCAGGAGCCGGCACACACGTGTGTGCACGTTCGTGCGCCATGCAGATATGCCCTTCCTCCTCCAGCTGTGGGTCCTCCACCCCTGACCTCAGCTTGGGAAGCAGCCCCTGCTGGGAGCATGGCCACAGCCCCTAGTTCCTCCCTGGGCCCCCTGACTGGGGCAGGGTAGAAAGGCCCTAAAGTCCTCTCTCTCATCTGTCTGTGTGGGGGCGCCCCTCCACACGCATGCTCAGAGCTGGGGCCCTGTCCCACGGCAGGACACTGAGGGCTTGGCTGCCTTCCCCTGCCACCCAGACCCCTCCCCAGTCCTTCTCCCTGTCCTCTGGATTTGAACCTGGGGCCGCCCCAAGTGCCGACTCACCTTTCCTGGATCCCCAGGTGCTGCCCTCTCTCCCCTGCTCCTTGTCCACGTACTGCCTCAGCCCACCTCCCCCCGGGCAGTTCTGGTGCTGGGGTGGGACGGGCACTGAGTCTCACCGCTGTGCCGTGAACCCCTGCTTCGGGCGTGATATCACTTTTGTAGAGAATGTTCTCCATCATTGCCATGCCTGTGTCTTGTTCTTTAATCCTTTGGGACAGCGGGAATAGTGAGACGGTGGGGGTGGGAGGGGTCCTCTCTGTGCCTGTGAGGACTGGATCCTGTTTCCTGGAGGGTCCTCGAGTGCCCACTCTGTGCATCCTTGGGCTTTTGCCCTGCCCTACTAAATCATCCCAGAATTAGGAGCCGGTGGAGAGGCAGGATAAGAACTGAACAGAGAGCCTCCTGCTGCTGAGCAAGGGGGAGGATCTGGTCTCCAGCCCTGTTTCCAGGACTTACAGCCATTGAGGGCAGGGTGATGCTTTCTTCCCACCACGGCCTGTCTGGGCTTTTCCAGAGATAAGCAGGAGCCCTGCCCCCGGAGGCTGCTGCCCATCACCTGGGTTGTGGGCCTCTCGCCCCTGGGAAGCCTCCAGAGATGTCCCCATTTCCCTCACCAGCCTAGCCAGCTCTTGGGCAGCCCGGCTTAGAGCCCTCCTTTCTCTCAGGGGTGAATCTCCTTCTTACGCTGGTGGTCTCTGTTTATTCAGGCAAGCGTGGGGAGGGTCCCGGAGGCATCTTGCTCCATTCCTTAAGGACGCTGGGCCAATCGCTTCTTCCAAGAGGCGATGTAGACAGTCCCTTCCCCGAACGTCAATCAGGAAGAGCCACGGGATGTCAGTCAAGGAAGGTTGCCTGGCAACCATCTAGGTTCTGGGTCACTTACCGCCACTTTACAGGTGGAAAAACTGAGGCCCACAGAGGGGAGGGCCCAGACTTAGAATGCAGGCCTCCGGGCCATGCTTTCCTACGCACAGAAACCAAAGGGCCAACAAGACACGTCTCCACCCACCACGCCTCAGGGACGTGTCCTCCCTGTGACCTCTGCTGGCCATCCCGGTCACTGCACCTACCTCAGGAAACACCCGCTGGTCCTGGCTGCGTAGGTCCAGAGGAGGACATGGGGGTGAGGTGTGACAAGACAGAGAGCAAATGGGAGCTTCAGCATTCGGGCAGAGACTAACCGGAAGCAGTGGGACGGAGGTCTCCGTGGGCCAAGGTGGCTCGAGGGTGGAAACCCGGGGTGCCAGGAGCAGAGGCAGCTCCAGGGAGCCTGAGGGGACATTAAACAAAGGGAACTTTTACACAGTAGGGACTCAGCTTTCTTCACTCATTCCCCTAAAGTTTAGATCGAGGTTATAGAAATTCTAAAAGTTTAGAATAGTGGTGCTCAGCCTTTCGAGAGTAGACTCTCGTGAAAATATGGACACTCTTCCCCCAAAATGCGTGTTGCACGCACACGCTTATAGGCAGTGTTGTTCACGACCCTAGGCAGCTCGTGGCGCCTGCAAGCCCCAAGATGTCAAGAGGCCCCACAGGTGAAGACACTTTGATTAGACAGCTGTGAACTTAACACACCATCAATGAGATGACCAACTTGACGGAGGTGGGGATGGCCAAGAATCAGAAAAGAAAGGGTCCCCACTGTATATGGCCCCACCCTCTCGTTTTACAGACACCATTGATAACAGAGGCCCCGAAGGGAAGGGGCTGGCCCAAGGTCACAGAATAGCCAGTGAGCAAAGCAGCACTATATCTCCTGATGCCTCCACGGTGCCCACTGCCTCCTGTCCTTGTGTGGCCGTCTGCTAGTCCCAGACGGCAGGCACCCCCATCTCCCCAACGCATGCTGTGTCTGTCACCTTCTCTGAGATAGGCCTGGGTTGGATGGGAGGTGGCTAGACTCAGGATAATCAGATCTGGACAGCAGAACTGGCTCTGCCCCTTTCCAGCTGTGTGGCCTTGGGTAAGTTACTCAGCCTCTCTGAGCCTGTTCCCTCCTACATAAAATAAGTATTCTAGGAATAATATCGACCCTACAGGGTATTAGGAGGGTGAACTGATAACGCATAAAAAGTACCCAGCGCACTCTCTGATGTTTAGTACATTAGTTAGTAACGATCATGGTTGTTGCTGGTCTGAGACTGGTCCATGGGATACTCCCTGCATTAGCGGTCAGCTCAGCTGTCCAGTAGGTGGGCCCTGGGTAGTCCCAGGGAGCGGTCTTGCTTTCCTGACCCCCCTGTGAGAACGCACCTCCTACCCCCCAACACCACGCGTGCTCTCAGAGCGCTACCTGGAGCCTCCTTATCTGACCTTCAGGGGGTGCCGAGAAGCCATCAGTAGCTGAGGAATGGTCAGTGAGCCAGCGTTGGGCTCCCATCCAGTGGGGGGACCCTGGGACCAGAGCTGTCCCTGGGGTGCTCAAGGAACTGGGAATCTTTTCTGGGGACTTGCGATACACTTGAGAGTTCATCAAAAGCTTTCCCCTGCCCCTGCGAGGTAGGCAGGTGAGGCTCAGTTTTCGCCTTGCTTCATAGATGAAGAGACTGAGTATCCGAGTTCCAAGATGCTCTCTCTGTTAAGGAAAATTCATGCTCCTTGACCTGGACCCTTAGGTCACTCTTGTCCCCAGCTGGAACGACAGGCACGTGCTACCACGCCCTGCTACTTTTTGGATTATTGTAGAGATGAGGTCTCGCCAAGTTGTCTGGGCGGGTCTCGAACCCGCGGGCTCAGGCAATCCACTCACCTCAGTCTCCCAAAGCGCGGGATTACAGGCTGAGCCACCGAGCCCAGCTAGGGCTAAGCTTTCAAGTTTTTACTATCAATTGCTGAGCGCTTTTAAGGTGTCAGGTGCTTATAATAAATCCTGTACGTACATTTAACCCTCACAATAAAACCACAACCTTATAAAGCAGGTCCTATATTATCACTATCATTCCCATTTTACTGCTGGAAAAACAAGCCCAGAGCAGTGATAGGACTTGCCCAAGTTCACTGGGCTACCAGGCCTCAAAGCGAGATTTCTCTGATGCTGAAGCCAGCTTGCCTGACCGCAGTGCTGTACCGGTCTCTACACACGTGTACCACTGGTGGGGGATGTCTTTGATCTGGAGTCCCCTTGACCTGGGCATGCCTGGCTTCTGGATGGGTGCCAGGTTCAGCCTGAGGTGGAGTGGGAGGGAGTATGCTGGCAGCTTCTGCAGTCCAAGAGCATAGGTCTGAGCTGCAGCACCCATCTGCCCTGGGGGGTTAGACTGAGAGGGCAGGACAGGCCGTGGGGCTACAGGAAGAACGTGGGGGGCTGTTTGGGAGAGTGGAAGCTTCAGGTCTCAAGACTACCGAGATGGAGAAGGAGGTGGGAGAAGGTTCCATCTCACTTCCTGTCTCCCTCTGTCTTCTTCCGTCTCTTTGTCCCATTTCTCCCTATAACACAAGGTCCCCTGGGCCGTCTCTCCTTCTCTCCCCCACTTCCTGTCGGCCCGTCTCTCCTGGCCACCGTCTCTCTTGGCGTCTCTCAACCTCTCTCTCCCACTGGCTCAGGCTCCCTGTTCCTCTCCCCATCTCCGTCCCTGTCTCTGTCTCTGGCTGATCTGGACCCCTGCAGCCCAGCCTGTCTTTCAAGATCTACTTTCCTCCCCCAACACTGGCACCTCTCAGGCATCTCCAGGGAGCCTGGTGTGACAATCAGTGAAACAACGCCTGAATTGTCTGGGAAACGCCTGAAGACCTGGGTTCAAGTCCCAGAGCTGCTACTGCATAGCAATGATTTGGTTCGGTCACATAACTTAACTTCTGCACAATGGACATCGTTACCTTCCTGACTGGGGTATTGTGAGATTTTGCTGGCATGACATGTGTCTTGCCTGGCACATGGTAGGTGCTCTACACTGGTCTCCAAGCTGGGTCTCACCTCCAAGCGGGTCTCACCTCCCGCCAATAGTAAGAGCAACACTTACTGTGTGTGTCCCAGACCTTTTACAATTATATGTTGTAAATACAATTTCAACAAAACATTGAATTATAAATCTAATAACAGAAGCCTAAAATGTCTTGTTAACTGAGAAAGTATGCAAGAGCTGCTAATTACTGCTGTGTTACTTGGTTCCCAGCACAACTCCAGGAGGGAGGGACTGTGATTTCTTTTTTTTTTTTTTGAGTTGGAGTCTCACTCTGTTGCCCAGACTGGAATTCAGTGGCCGCTCCCAGCCACCGCAGCCTCGACCTGCTGGGCTCCGACAATCCTTCCGCCTCAGCCTTCCAAGTGCATGCTACCACGCCCGGCTAATTTTTTTTATTTATCGTAGAGATGAGGTCTCGCCTGCCCAGGCGGGTCTCGAACCCGCGGGCTCAGGCAATCCACTCACCTCGGCCTCCCAAAGGCGCGGGATTACAGGCTGAGCCACCGAGCCCGGCTCTTCTTTTTATTTTTTTAGATTTGGGGTACAATTCAGGGTTAGGTATGTTCATGATGCAGGTACCCTTGTTGATGAAGTGTGCCCCACCCCCCCGGCAGATTCCCACTATTGCCAATCTCACTACCCCTCCTGCCCTAGCAGTTTCTCACTACTGCTAATCCTTTTCTTTCTTTTTTTTTTTTTTTTTTTTTTTGTTGTTGTTTTTTGAGTTGGAGTCTCACTCGGTCGCCCACACTAGAGTGCAGTGGCTGCTCCCGGCCACCGCAGCCTCGCCTCCTGGGTTCTGGCGATCCTTCCGCCTCAGCCTTCCAAGTAGCCGGAATTACAGGCATGTGCTACCATGCCCGGCTGATTTTTTTGATTTATTGTAGAGCTGAGGTCTCGCTGCCCAGGCGGGTCTCGAACCCGCGGGCTCAGGCAATTCACTCACCTCGGCCTCCCAAAGCACGGGATTACAGGCTGAGCCACCGAGTCCGGCCCAATTTCTTTTTTAATATTAGGAAACTGGCTGGGTGCAGTGATTTGCTCCTGTAATCCCAGCACTTTGAGAGGTGGAGGCAAGAGGATTGCCTGAGTCCTGGGGTTCAAGACCAGCCTGGGCAACATAGTGAGACCTCGTCTCTACAATAAATAAACAAACAAACAAACTAGCCAGGCGTGGTGGCGCGCACCTATAGTTCCAGCTACTTGGAAGGCTAAGGTGGAAGGATCGCCTGAGCCCAACAAGTTGAGGCTGTGGTGACTGTGAACATGCCACTGCACTCCAGCCTGGGAGACTCCTAATTTTATCTATTATTCATGTATTTATTTTTGTGAGACTCCTACTCACAAAAATAAATAAATGAATAATAGATAACATTAAGAAACTGAGGCACAGAGATGTTTGTCACATGTTCCCAAACTCACACCATTGGAAGGCAGCAGAGCTAGAACTCAAACCTGGATAGGCTGACTCCCAGCTGTGCTGCTGTGCTTCATTATGATAGTGAGCATTTACTGAGCACCTGCTGTGTACCAGCACTTTACATGTATGATTTCAGTTAATTCTTACAGCAGACTCATTTAATAATGACAGGAGCCGGGTGTAGTGGCATAATCCCAGTACTTTGGGAGGCTGAGGTGAGAGGATTATCTGAGCCCACGGGTTTGAGCCCAGCCTGGGCAACTTGGTGAGACCTCGTCTCTACAACAAATCAAAAAATTAGCCGGGCATGGTGGCATGTGCCTGTAGTTTCAGCTCTTTGGAAGACTGAGGGGGAAGGATCACCGGAGCCCAGCAGGTTGAGGCAGCGGTGGTCGGAAGCGTGCCACTGTCTTCCAGCCTGGGCGACAGAGTGAGACTCTGACTCAAAAAAAAAAAAAATAAAAATAATGACAGGATTATTAAGCCCATTAGACAGAGGAGAAAACCGAGGCTTGAGAACATGAGGTCATTGCTTGAGCCACACAGCTAGTAAGAGCACAGGCAGGGTCTGGCTCCCCATCTGTCTGACGCCCTAGAGTGGCACCTGGGTCTGGCTGCTTCTCATTACCCAATTTCCTCTGAGAAGGTTGAGGGCAGTGACCCCTCCTCAAGTTTTTATTGCTGAATGAAAAAAAAGCCCGATGGGGTTTGGGGCCGAGGCAGGGAAACTTCTGGCAAGTCCATTCACAGCCACCCATGCCTGGTCTTTAGAGAAAAGCCCAGGAATATGCCAGTTTGGTAAGCCCCAGAGAGCCCTGTTTCCACCCTCACTCACTCTGGCATATTTTCTGGGTCTGCACGGGCAAGTGTTCTAGGGGTTGCCAGACCCTCTCTCCACTCTGGAAATGCACACATTGGAGAATTTTCTCCACCAGACCTTAAACAATAGTCAGAGGGTGTCCTGGTGGGCTGGGGAGGAGGCATTCTCAGAGAGGAGAGAGGGTGGGGACAAGAGCAACTGGCAGCGATTCTGGCCCTGGTCCCTCCACCCCACCAAAACTCCCCGTGGGGTTCTCTCTCCCTCACAGGATCAAACCATCCTACACAGAATTGTTTCTTTGACCCTCACAATAGTCGCCTGAGCTGGGCAAGGGCAAAAGGCCATTTTATAGATGTGGCAACTGTAGTTCAAGTTGGGATGGCAAATGACCAGCTGCAAAATTATAAACCAGAGCTGGGTGCAGTGGCTCACTCCTGTAACACCAGCACTTTGGGAGACCAAAATGGGAGGATTACTTGAGCCCAAGGCCAGCCTGGGCAACATAGTGAGACTTCAGCTCTACAAAAAATTTTAAAAATTAGCTGAGCATTGTGGTGCATGCCTGTAGTCCCAGCTACTTAGGAAGCTGAGGCGACTCATTAAAAAAAAAAAACGAAGAAAAGAAAAAAAAGGAAATGCGTGGGCCAGGATGTCTGGTCTGGTCCATTCGCATTGCTGCATGCTGCCAGACGTCTTCTCAAAACGTGTATCTAGCACCTTCTACATACCAGGGATGGCAAACCACGAGAACGGTCTCACCGCCCTGCCTCAGGTAAGGACACCGGACTCAGGCAGGTTAAGCCGTTTCTCTGAGCCTCTGGTGCAGAAGTGCCAGGGCCGTGGGATTTGAACCCCAAACTCGAGCTCTTTCCATGGCAGCCCCGGCCTCCCTTCACCGCATTCATTAAGTCATATGCCCAGGCTCTCCCCTGGCACAGGTGGCTGTCAGGAACAGGTCAGGAACAGGGGTTCAGCTGGTAGGAGTTGGGGAGGTGAGACAAAGACAGGCAGGACCAATTGCCTCTTCCCTCTCTGTCCCTGTGTCTCCCTCCTGCTCAGCCTCTGCATAGACCACTGCTGCCCTGTGCTTGTGTGTGCACGTGTGTATCTCTGTGTGAGTGTGGGATGTGGGCGAGGAGACTGATGTGTATCTATGGGAGCATGGGACGGGCGTAGTGGCTCCAGAGCTTTCCTGGAAGGTTGTGCTTATTTATGAGCAGAGCTGGGCACAGTGGCTCACTCCTGTGATCCCAGCTGCTCAGGAGGCTGAGGCAGGAGGATTGCTTGCGGTCAATAGTTTGGAACTAGCCTGGAGAACATAGCGAGACCCTATCTCAAAAAAACAAAACAAGCCGGGCTCGGTGGCTCAGCCTGTAATCCCGCGCCTTTGGGAGGCTGAGGTGAGTGGATTGCCTGAGCCTGTGGGTTCGAGACCTGCCTGAGTAACTTGGTGAGACCTCATCTCTACAATAAATCAAAAAA